CCCCCCCTTGGCAAAACAGTGTTTAAAATGTCATGAAGTAAATGTCTATGGTAAATAGAAAATATTTTCACATTTTGTTCTACGAAATACAATACGTCAGTAAATACCCCACTGGTAAATATATGATGGTTCTTACTGTCATAAAAATGGCGGTCATAACTAAATTAGACTAAAAAACATCATCCGAACACTAGCCACCTTTAGCTTAGCAGTGGCGACTGGCCGCCATGCTACCGTGATGTCCTTTCAATTACAGCCTAACGATAGTTAATATTTTTAGTCTGGCAATTGCATTTAGCTTCAAAACTCATTAAAGTGATGTTAATATGTAAAGTTTATCCTAATGAACAAAATGTGTGAGGATCATAGGAGTTTGTTTCTGCAATATTCCAAAATCCAATGGAGAAATCCTACAGCATTTTGCCGAGAGCGTCATTGTGTTGCTAACTTCTGGTTCAGCCCACAAACTAAGTCATCAGTGCAGCACTCTATTAAAGCTGCACTGAGAGTTGACAATAACATAACAATTTGACACGGCATACACATACTTAACAGCCTCTAGTTAGAGGCACAACATGCAGATGGCTATGGTAATCTAAAGGCCTAAGTGAAACTATCAATCAACTACTGATGACTTATATATCTCGATACATATTGCTGGTGGTTTACCGCGCAGGCCTGGCATGAATACCTATGAAGAAGACTCTTCACTCTGCTCCCTTTTCTATGACTGTGTGTGCTAGTTCATTGTTTTAACTTTTACAGAAGACAAGCATTTCTTTATGGTAGTGCTTTGTTATGCTACTAACCCTTTACCTCCATGTTTTGTGCAGTAATGACAATCCCATAAATAGGAGACAATATAAATAAGTTATTCTTAATATGATGTGTAAAGCCAGGGCACACTGTGTCCTGGCAGACCTTAGGACAGGCACTGTGCTGTGGAGATCCACCGGAGCAGGGGAAGCTGGGTAATTGAAATGCTCTGGCTGAGGCTTTGCTTTGAGGTGTCAGAGTGTGTTACCGCCATGCTTCCAGTCTCTAATCTAAGGTGAGTTAGCACTGATGTCTGCAGTGCTATGGCTGTATTTGAGATGGCAGTGACCTAAGCTGCTGCTCAGGTCCCATTAGGCCCTGCCACTCGCTGCAGAGCTCTGTGTGTCCGCAGACAGCCAGCTGCCAGCTCCACTCTCCGTCTGTCACTGCTGGGCCTGGGCAGTGGGCACACATCAGCCAACACCACAGCCCAAATAAACCATTACACGCCTTGGCAAACCTTCTCTAAGCACCACTGAGTGGAGGGGGAATAACTAACTGGTGTAGCATTAATGACAATTTAATTTGAGCGCATGTAGATCCCTGATACTCTGAGTAACAGGAAACACAAAGGCATGACCAGAAATGTGGAAGCATCAGTATTAAAATGCAACAAACTACAAAGCCCATACATGTCCTAAGCAGACAGATATTAACTAAGTAGTTTAACCCTCCTGTCGCGTTCGCACTGAAAACACTGAAACGTTGACTTTAATTAAATATCTTATGTTAACAGAGTTCACCTCACTGTATTAGGTTAGTTGAAAGTAATTATATAAAGTAAACATAAAAATGCTTAGTTTCAACTTAATTAAAGTCAATGTTTCAGTGTTTTCAGTGCGGGTCAAATCTGACTGATTTAGGCAAGGCAAGTTTATTTATATAGCACCTTTCAACACAAGGTGCTTTTTACTTTCATCAATCATAAATATTGTGTTTTACATGTGATTGCTTAAAGGCCTCATGGTATGCTCCACAGTGAGCATTACCCTTATATTATATATACACTTAACATTACAAATAAATGTATAAAATTAAATAATAAAACATTTGATTTTCTAAAACACTGTTCTCCCTCAAAAAACAGATAAACAGAAAAATATAGTGCAAGTAAATAGTAAATACTCGAAGAAAATAGTTTAAAAAAGTGAAATAGTGCAATAAGAGTCTATATGCAAGTCATTGAAATATGATATATTAGGTAAATAGATACATATTTTTTAAGTAGCAGCCAGATGAATGTTGTTGATGTTGTTTCAGCAGTTCAGGTGTTTAATAGTCTTATTGCCTGTGGGATGAAACTGTCCCTGAGTCTGGTGCTTTTAGTCCGGATGCTGCGCACACACCTACATATCGATAACCATGTTCATTTTCAGTGTCTATTATTTGTATATTCACTGCATATATTCATGTAAACCAGTAGTCTGAATCATTGTCTTAAATAATAATGATTCCTGTTTTTTGTGTTGTATCTATTCATGTATTCATGTTTTTGTATTAATGTGAGAGCAGTTTAAAAAAGGATCGGTCAAATTTGAACAGGAGTAAGGGGGCACAACGAACACAACAGGAGGGTTAACATGATTGTCAATTTCATTCAACCACTCGTAAAACCCTTTTACTTTGAGTTGCAGGAAACACAAAGGCATTACCAGAAATGTGGAAGCATCAGTATTAAAATGTAAGAAAATTACAAAGCTCAGAGTTGTAAAATCAGACCAAAAACGTGTGACGGCTGGCTCTGTGGTGAAGAGCAGCAGATAGGTCTCTACACTGACTGTCATGAGCACCACAGCTCTTCAGTGTGTGCTGAATTGAGGCTTGATGGCTAATTGTAGATTTCATTTAGTGGCCCTTGATAGTCATAATGTTTGGTGCTCAGAGGAGCGGGCTGTTAGCGCTGGATAGAGTGGGAGGATGAGCTTCCACTCACATCCACTCTGCTCCACTTCTCCATCACCATCTGCCTCCATCTCATTCTGTTTCAGCTCCATCTACAGTGGATTTGACTCCACAGTGCCACATTTTACATCATTATGTTTTACAATTTTTCACAATTATGTTGTACGATGTGTTTTCTTAGGCTCTATTAAATGAACTTACTTGTAGATTATCTGGTTTAGAATAAGTGCCACATTTTGCACATCTGCAAGAGTCCCAGTTATATAGTTATTGATTTCTATCATATTAAAGTAGATTGGACCTGCTGTGAGCTTATACAATACGAAAGTACAAGTCAAGCAAGAGGCAACAGAGCCCGGGCTTTAATGTTGCTGTGAATCGAAAAACAGCTTCACTGAAATGATTTCATACGCATGTTTCAGGTTCCTGCAATATTCTTTACTGCTGAAGTGCACAGGGGTGGAATCAAGTTTGGTCATTATTGTAAGCATCCATTGTCTGTGCCTTGAGACACATGTTACATGAGCCTTACATCATATGTATTTGTACACACCTTTAGTACAATAAAGGCAGCCTTATGATAATGTTAAAAGTGCTATTTGGATGGTTAGCAACTTAACAAGAGCCTCCACTCGTCCCTAACCTGAATGTCCAGAGATGCTGCTCCACAGTCTGATCTCCTGTTAATGAAGTCGTAGTGCCAGTGTCCACAGGAAGAGTACTCAGATGGTTGTACTGCCCTGCTATCTGTGTGTGTGTGGCAGCGCTATTACGCTTGTTATTAACTCTAAATGCTTGTGTTTACAGATAATGGAAATGTAATTACTATTTAGAGAATAGATTTTCTTGTATTGTCACTTCTCCCACGAGGCCTGTGACAGAGTCTGCTCTGGTTTTCTATGCTAAAATACAGATATTTATTAATTATAGAAAATGACAAG